ACCAAAATACTTCTCCCACATCTGGAATTTGCAAAAATCATTGATGGAAGAGTTTGAATCTGGAGAGTACCCACATTTACCCAGTGCTCCTGTCTTCCCTCTTCAACCCTGTGTTGGTTTGAGTTTCCATGGAGGATAAAGGTTCTAATACAAGTAGTTTATCTGGGAGAGAATATAGTAGATGAGTGGGGAATGGATATAGCAAAGGGGAGGGGCCAAGGGTTTGTTGATAAAACAGCTATCCTGGTGGGAGACTATCTTATTTCACAAGGAAAACCTGGGGAAGGATATACTAGTAAAAACACTTGCCTCATCATTATCCCTCCTACAAGGTAAGGGAGCTGTGATGTTTAGTCATGGGGACATTCTCTGAAGGCTTGTTCATTCCCAGGCTTCTCTGTGAGTGCCTGGGTACAGAGAGGGACCTTTTGTGGTTTGGACAAAGATCCTTCAGGTTCAGAGATGGAGATACTGGAAGCTGGAAGCCAACCAGAGCACACTGCTAAGGCAGGATGGAAAGGATATATGTGAGGTACTGATGATGATGTCCGTTACAAACTCCCATAATGAGTTCAGGAAAGATTGGTCTCCAAACCTGTTTCTAGAAGGTAGACTATAAGTTCAAGGCTGACACGATGCTTTTTGTAGAAGGGAACTGAAGCAGAGAATTATGGATTTTTTTTTTTTTTTTTTGCATGTAGGTAGATCCAGAGAGAAAAGAAGGGGCTAGGCCACTTAAGTCATTCCTTCTTAATTGAGAACCTGAGGCGGGGGGGGGGGGGGGGGGGGAGGGGGCAGAGAGAAGAACTGGAGTTACCTTTCCAGACTGTTGCCTCTAAGAGAAAGGAGCAGAGGTTTTCTATGCCATGAGTCAATGTAGGAACAAGGGGAGAGGAAGCAAATGGTACTAAAGTAATGATACTTTAAAAATTTTTTTATTTTTTTAAGTTAATTGCTTTTATCTATTGAGAGAGAGAGAGAGAGAGAGAGAGAGAGAGAGAGAGAGAGAGAGAGAGAGAGAAGAGAGAGAGAGAGACTTCCTATGAAGAAGTCAGTTCAATGTGTCACTTTTGCTCTCATCTTTTTGGTTAGAATATAGTCACATGACCAAACTTCATTGCAATGAAGGCTGGGAATTATATTTTCTATCTGGGGTACCCATGTGCCCTTTTAAAACTGTAGTGGTGTGGAGATTTTCTTATTAAAAGGAAGAATAAAATAGAAGAGTAATATTGGGGACAATTAGAAAAAGCATGCTAAGACAGTCACAAAGATTTTGATAATCTCATAGAAGTTTACATGTCCTAAATTAAAATGTATATTTTAGTGTGACCTGAAATTCTGGTCACTACATTTATTTTTAGGTCTCTTTACTATGATATAGCTGAAGCTAAGTTTCAATTTTAATGAACTCCATTATGAGTACTGGGCTTATCTTGTTTCAACCTTATGAAAATAGTTTTAAGATTTTTCTACCTATATATATTATAGATTTTACTGTTCACTTTTACAGTTACCACGAGGCTTTCCTTATTCTATCTTTACTTATATGCATTCTAATGTTTACATTTCCTTTCTGATAGTTTTCATTTTTTGACATCTAATATTGATTTGAATGTAGTGTGGCAAAGGATAAGTAAATATTTTGATATCTTAAAAAACACACACACACAAAAACCCAACCCAAACAAACCCCACACAACTTAAATTATCGTCTGAACTCAGGTCAGTATAAATATCTTAGGATCATCTTTAAACCGGAGGCCCCCAGAAACCTGGGTTGACTCTTGGATCACCCTTCATCCTTTGGACCAACGGTAACCTGAACCAGTATTAAGTCATCTTTTCTAGACAAAAAATATTTGTTATTTGTTTGTTTGTTGAATAATGTAAATAATAGCCTAGGCAAACTAAGTATAGAAAAGAATTATAGAAAATTTCCACATTATTATAAAAGATTTCTCCTTCCTTTAAAGAGCATAAAAGATGAGAAGCATCTAGCACAGCCTGGAATAACAGAATCTTTATAAGTAGTAGCCACAGTCAATTACCTTTTATGTTGGCCACTAGGACAAAGAAGTAATCAGCTTTCCACCAACATATAGTAAAACATCCCATTGCTTTCTGCAGTCATTCTTTATTGTAATAGGAATCAAATCCACTGTTACAATGTACAAAAGAGAGTTCAATTTGAAAAATGCAAGAAAAGCTGGTTTGAGAAATACTCTCTTTACATAAACTTAGCATGCAAAAATATCCAATAGTTACAGGACACCTCCCCAGATTTTATTTTTCTTGTGAAATATCCCCAGGGATCTCAGCAAGTTTTTAGAGAAACTTTAGAGATGTGAGAGTTCAAAAGACCTAAATGGAAAATATATTTTTTATCCAATTGTTTCTCTGGAATATATCCAGTGGTAATAGATTGGGATATTCCAGAACCTTTAATTCCCCAACTGGACACCAAAATGTGATAGAAGGCAGCATATGAGATCTATCCCTGATTGATTGATATAAAAATAATCCTAATTATTTGGCAATGCTATACCAGTTTTACTCTGTAGAAAAAAAAATTCTACTCTTCAAATTTTTTTTCATCCTGCTTCTAAGTCATTTGTCATTAAATTCATAAACTCTTAGTATTTCCTCTTTCTTTCCTTCCCTAATTTTATTTAGACTCCAGTTAATCACAGTAATTCTTTTAAGCTATGACATGATTCTTTTGGCACATTGAGGCCATTACTATTTAACTCTCTGGTTCCTTTACTTTAATAGAATTTACTTGTTTTAAATTTCCTTTCTACCTTATCTAAAATTGACTGATGTTTCCCAAAAGAGTTCCAGATATTGGGTGCACATTTTGGCATCTCAAATTGCCTTATTTTTATTAGAAAACTATAGCAATGAGGAAGTTATTGACTACATTTTCTTTCTTTTTTTGATAACAGGCATTAATTTTCTTCAAAATCAGTTTCTTCAATTTATTTTCAACAACATAAGTCTTCCTCTATTTGTTTATAAGATAGTTTGAAATCCTACGGAGTAGAAGCATTTTTATTCTTTTGATAGTAAAATGGAGCTTCTACATGTATATTTTAAAATTTTATGTCAATTTTCCTATAGAAATGGAAATAAGCTGAAATAACTAATTCATTTATCAAACAAGAGTGAGAGTGGGTAATTTTACTTTCCCAAACACCTCAGTTCATAGGTATGATGAAATGTTAACGTGTACTAATGGTGACTGGTGAGTACATGGAGTTTGTTATTTATTCTTTGTAACAGTTTGTGCTATGGTTGTACATAGCATTGTCCCCCCAAAGAAGATAAAATAAAACAACAGCTCTGACTCTTTTTATTTTTCTGGGAACGTAGGGAGCTGATTTATATTTGCCCACTTTGTTAGGTTAGATTGTGGTGGCTGATAACAAGGATTTATAGTAGCATAGATGAAAGGTGAATAAGGGTGAATTTAACGTTCAGTTAATGGTTATAAGAAACAAGCAATGAAGTAGGGTGTGATTTAAGCAGAGTGCTTTCTGTTCAAAAATTGTTTGATGGTAATGAATTAACTGTCTAGAAAAGGCATACTCTTTCCCATGTACATCTATATGGCCCTCCCTACCAACACATATCCTACCACCTGGGTTTTAGTGGTTGCCCTTTGCAAGTCAGGCTGCTTCTGCAAGTACATATTTGTCATATGCCTACTTTACATTTTCCAAACAGCACGTTCAGTAGGGTTCCAATAAAAAGAACGAAAGGAACCTGAGTTTCCCTTACTGGTTTAGATGCTGCTTTGGAAAAAGATGAGGTGGAACTAATGTAGGCTGTGAAGAGTGGTATTAAACTACTGTTTCTCTTTAACTCCGCCCCCACCCCCCTCGTTTTTTTTTTTTTTTTTTTTAAAGGTTTACTTATGATAATTGTTCATTTTTTCTTTTCCACATTCACTTTTAGTAGAAAGGTCTGTTAGATGGCTCCTAGAGCAACCAGCAAGCCTACTCCTGCCGGGCAGAGGAGGCAGAGGGCCCAGGCTGGGGCCGGTGCGGGCGGCTGGGGGACTTCAGGAGGGAACCGGCGGAGAGACTGCAGTGACACTGCCCTCCCTGGGCGGGTGGAAGCATCTCACTGGTGACGGGTCTGAAAGCACGTGGCTACGTCATGGAAAGCCAGTCTTTTCAATGCAAACTTCAACTCCTCCTCCTCCTCCCTCTCATGCCAGTAACTCACAGCCGAGACTGGGCGAGGAATCCGGAGGGGAGGCTTTCCTCATGCTCACCGCGGCCGGGAACTGGGAGAGTGAGCAGCAGGAGGAGGGGGCTCTGGGGCGCTCTCTACCTGCTACCGGCCTGACCAGGGGAGGGGGCGCCTCGATTCTGCATCTTTTCTTCGCGCTGATTTGAGAACTGCAGGGTCCATCTGATCCCACTGGGCACTGGCGATTGATTTATAAAACCAAAAAAACCCAAAAAATCGACCCTGGAAGGCTGTGTCTTCGGCTGTCAGACTCCATCCAGGAGGTGGTATTGGCGTGTGAGTGTGTGTACCGGTGGATTTTTTTTTCTTTTTTCCTTTCTTTTTCCTTTCTTTCTTTCTCTCTCTCTCTCTCTTTTTTTTCCTCCCCCCGCTTCTCTCCTAGGGACTACACAATGGCAGTCTTCTCTCACTGAGATGAATCCTGCTTCGCCTTCTGCAGACCCACCCATCCTCTTAGCGATCAAGTAAAGGCTATGGTTTTCTCTTTGGGGATCTTTTGTGCATTCCTGTTCTCCCCGATCAGTTCTGAGCTCAGTTGGGATTTCTTCGCTTTTCTGTTTGGCTTTGTGCTGAAAAAGGACTTTTCCCCCAGCCCTTTGGTCATAACCCGGTGGTGATCAGGAGAGAGAGAGGAATCCTTCATCCTGGCCGAGAAAAAACAATCCCTGAGAAGTCTCAAAGAAACATACCACGTGAGGGGAAGAAACTGGGAGAAGATTCGGAATATTATCGCTTTTCCTATGGTAAAGCCGGTGCCCCTCTTCAGGAGAACTGATCTCAAATTATTATTATGCAACCACAAGGATCTCTCCTTTCTCAGGGTGTCTAAGCTGCTGGATTGCTTTTCGCCCAAATCAATGTGGTTTCTTTGGAACATTTTCAGCAAAGGAACGCATATGCTGCAGTGTCTTTGTGGCAAGAGTCTTAAGAAAAACAAGAACCCAACTGGTAAGCAAAAACATGCAATCGTGTCATGTCTTTCCCCTCCTCATAACCTGTCTGTTGCTCACTGAGCTAGATCTGCAGTTCTGCTATGCAGGGAGGCGAGCGAGGCGGAGAGAGAGGGAACCAGGACAGTGTTGCATGTAGAGGTGTTGCATGGATAAACAAGTAACAGCTGGATCGGCCGGTCGCTGAGCCAGAAAACCATGACAGCTTCTCTGGGCTGTGACACCATCCATCAGGAGGAGGGAAGAGGAAACTTTTGTTTTTTTTCTTAAATGTATTTGGTTGCCGACGTTTGGCGGAATGGAAGGGGTTGGGGCTCCAGGTTTTGCCCGAGGCAAATGAAGCTTCCGTAAAAAAGGACCGCGAGCTCTCCTGACTTCTGCGCTGCAGGTTCAGGGACGCAGCCCGGTGCCCCCGGAACCCTGCTCTGGACTTTCTGATGAGCTTGCACAATAGTCGCCACCCCAAAATCACCTCCACTCCGAGTACAAGATGCCCCCCTCCTCCCTCGCGCCCCGCTCCTCCGCCAGCCCTCGCCTCCCTCCTCCCGCTCCCGCTCCCTGAGTGTTAACTCATTCCCGGGTCTGCTGCCTCCGACGCCTCCTGCTCCTGGGGATGCTGGAGCAGGGGATACAGGGCTGGGTGGGGGGGAGGGGGACTCCAGGCCGGGGAGACTAGCTGGGTCCCCTCTATTGGGTGCAATGAAACCCCCACCCCCTTTTAAAAAAAAGCAGCATCACAGCCCTACGTCGGGGTCCCCGAGTCCCCGCGACCTCAGCCTCCCTGTGATGGTGCGCCCCCGTTATAGAGGGCTCCAATTGGGAAACTTGCAGCGCGTTACATAAGAAATGCAAATGCAGGGGGTTCGAGGAGTTGGGGATCCGGGCTCACTTTCTGGTGTTTCTGTCTGAGGGGTTTCGGGGAGGCCGCGGGGCTGCGGGAGAGCAGCCGGGGCCCCGGAGGCCAGGCCGGAGGGCTGCGTGGTGGTGGCGGCGGCGGCGGCGGCGGCGCGCTGGCGAGAGGCTGGGGCGCAGCGGGTCTGGGAGCGGTGCGCGCTGCTGGCATAGGGGGTGTGCGGCGTCACCCGGCTCGGTTCTGGGAGGGGAGGAACCTGGGGCCGGTGTTTGTGTCTGGGGAGGCTTGGACAGGGGGGCCGGGGAGTGGGTCGGGCCCTCCGGTAGCCACAACCTGGGCCCTGGGAGCTCGGGACGCCGGCGGCACTGCGGTGTAGTGGATCATGGCTCCCCATCGCCGCCCTGAACTCCCTGAGCTCCGCCGGGGACCGCGCTGGCCCCCGGGTCCCCAGGCGCTGGGCAGCAAGTGGCTGCCGCCTCCCAGCCTCCGGAGCTTGCAGGAGCCTCGGAGCTGCGCCTGCGGGTGCGGGGTGTGCGAGGAGGAAGAGGAGGAGGAGGTATGCGGGTAGGCGGGTGCAGGCGGTGGGTGTGGAGACTGAGCACCCTGAGATGTCCCCGCCGCTGCCGCAGATGAGAAACTGCGAGTTGTTAGACGGCCCAAAGGGCAGCTGGAGGCTCGAGTGCAGCGGAGGACGCCTGGGCACTGTCCCCAGCTAGGAAGTTTGAGGCTCTGAGAATAGCCGCTGGCCCGCGGGCGCGGTGCTGCAGTGGGCTCTGAGCCTCTGTCCTGAAATCCTGTTCTCGGTGCTGCTTCAGCTTTATCCTGTGTCCCTCTGTGTCGCCGTCGGTTCCTGCCTCCTCCTATTCCTCCCTCCCCTGCCCCCTTTCTACTCATCTCTTTCAACTCAGCCTTTAGCAACTCTGAAGTGACACCAGCACCCAGAGCATCGCCCAAGAAGGCAGGGTTGCCACTTTACCATCCGCATTTCCAATTCAGCTGCGAGGCGTACCCCAAGCCCAACACTTGTTGATGCCTCCATCATTCCTAGATTCCAAACACTATCTCACAAGTGAATGTGAACACCCTTTTCACAAGACTTCCCAAAGTGGGACAAGCCAGGGGCTCGGGAGAGAAGGGGTTACTCCTTCACACAGTAAAAATAGTGGTTTTTGAAGACTTCTTTCGTCCTCTGAAAAGATTTAGAGAAAGGAATATTTGTAAAAGTGCTGTAGTTTTTTAAAGACTCAGCCATTTGTGTAGGGACCTTAAACTCTGTCCCTCCATGGTATTGGAGAGGGGGAAATAATTCAGCACCAAACAGTAAGTTTTCTTACTGGCCTTTACACACCTATATGGTAAAGTTTCATTGGAAACACTAATTTTCCCCCACACAAGATGCAAGATCTTTTCATTACTCCTCTTTTACTTCCCTCACTTTTTATCTCTCTGGGATAAAGTAGATACCTTTTTTCTTCCAAGGTGATTTGGAATGACAAATGACAAAATTATTTTTAGAGCAATTTGTTTTGAACCTGATGATTGCTAAAGTACTTGTGTGTGACTTGATGGGTTAACTCAAAGTGTGCTAACAACATCACCAACTGCTCTAGTTTAGTCTTGGATTGACAAGGGTTAACTTTCCGACCTGGAAGTTGGAGCTTTTTGTAAATTATTTTTAATAATAGAACTTTAATGAGTCACGCTATCAATCCCACCTTCTAAAAGTTTTTGTTATTTGAGCTGGAATAAACTCATGCCTCGTCATTCCCTTTCAGCATTGTAGGTGGCAAGTTCCATTCTCTTTCTGCTATTAACATTAAGCCTAAAATCATTTGCAGGTTTTTGATCCCAAGATAGCAGTACGACTAAGAAGTTAATTGGGTAATTAAAATGAAGCAAAGCCTAAAATCCTCTTGACTGTTAAAACCAAAAAGAACAGATTGACTACTACCTATTATGTTATCTTAAATCTAAAATAAAGACAATTAACTGTATTCAAACTAAGAAGCTTGGCAGAATACCACAAAATACCAGTACCAGGATCATAAATTTGGTGCAAAGACTTCTTATGAGATTAATTTTCTTCCCTAATCTTTGCAAATTATTAAATAATTTGCCAATTTCCCCCCCAATTCTTTAAATTGTCAACAAGTGTAGGTACTGGGAGGAATTTCAGAGTTCTGCTATATAATCAGGTTGGTGTGAAAATAAACAGATAATAGAGCCATGAACTTAAAGGCAAAGGTATTCATTTACCCAAGCTATTAATTAGTATTTAAATAAGCAGTGTTAATGAAATAGTTTTTTTTGTAGTTGTTTTCTCATAAAACATGAAGAATGTGTGTTTTTTAAAATAAATGGTAATAGCTTAGAAATCCTAATATACTCGTATATTTACTATCTTAATAAAAATAAACAAAATCTCACAATACAACTATTATCTGAGAACACACACACACACACACTTAAATGTCCTACTTTCCCTTACTTTTCTAGCACAGCAATTGTTATATGTTTAGAATAAATGTTACCTGCTTCAGTTTTCACTGTATGTCATACAAGATGACTATATTGTTGGCAAAGCATTACATAGGAATGATAAGTCCAAGGCACTTGTTTTGTCTCATGGAGGGTTTGATATGTCTCTAAGCCAGTAATGATACTTTAGACTAGCCAAAACAGACCAGTTTGAGAAATAATCTAGGTCACTGAACTTTGACCCTGCTAGGGAAAGAAATGTGGTTGGAAAAAAAGTCCACAATAAAGATAAATACTAAGGTCATGTCATGAATATCTTTTCAGACACATAATATACAACAAGCAAAGGAAGCCACAGACCCTCGAATACATACAGCCACTCAACCATACACATGAGACCCCCAAACACCCATGGAATGACAAGATCTTGGAAAGCACAGATTTTTAGATAAATGGTAATTGAAGTTAATTTTTATTGAGTGCAAGCAGGGTATGAAGCAGATGCCCTAGATCTACTTTTGCAGAGCATATTTAGAAAATCCCACACACCCGAGGCCCTGAGTGTGTCCTTTTCTCAACTCGGTTTCCCTCTCTGCCCTATAACTTTGAGATGAAACAAGTAGGGCTTAGTAGAATTTATTGGTATTTCCTATTTCCTCTTGTTTTGGTGTCTTTCAGCTCTGCTTTTACCTTTCCTGAAGCTGTTTTAGGTGGCAAAACACCTGGGATGTCACTGTTACTCATTTAAATATTATTCTTTTCAAGCTACTTCCTTTCCACATCTAGGGCTGTCCTGGCATTTAGAAATAAGAAGATAGGGAGAGAGGGAGGAAAAAAGAGTAAGCATTTTTTACTCCTCTTTCTGAGCCTGCCGACTCATCCTGTAGAGCTGGGGAGCCACAATGGGCCACAAATCTGAATTTCTAAACACTGAGGATATATCAGATGGAGACATTAAACTTAGATGGCATAACTGGAACACCACATAGGTGAAAGGTTCTTTTTCCTTCTCACATGCTTGTCTTCAGAGTGGGATTTCGTGTAGTATGAGTTGGGTTGAACTCCATCAGGGAAGCTTGAGTTACTGGAGTCGCAAAATGAGTTTTGCAGAGCAGTGTCACTTCATGAACTCAAGTATGGCATGTTAGATGGGCTTCAAAGTATGGACTGATTGGGAGAATGGATTTTTCTTATTTGAAATTTATATCCAAGTTAACAAGTGTGAAATCCAATACGTGATAATCTAAACTTTAACTTGGCTTTAAAGATGAAGATGGCTTTGGCTGTCTCCATCTCCAGCCTCTGCTCACTTTGGACTTCATCCATAACTGATATAACATTTTCCCCCCCAAATAATGCATTGCTTTGAGAAGGTGTTAAAGCTAATTCCATACTATATTTCACTTAGCCTACTGGGAATCATTCCTTTAAAAAATGTTCAAAACCAGTCTTCCGTGTTTTAGCAACACAAACATTGGGGCCTTTTGTGAAAGTGTTGTTATACATATGGTAGCAAGAATAACAACCAAAGTTTTCACTCCTTTGTACATTTTGGCATCATAACTCATTCAATTGACTCATAAGCTTTCTATAAATACTGTGTAGATGTCTCAAAATGGAAGCATTTATTCAAAATACTTTCCTATGCCTTAAGCGGAAACAGTTGG